TTGCTGGAGCGGCTGAGAAGGGTCTGCTGTCATTACAGTGCGAGAGTGGCCTCTAGTGGTTGAAATCACTGACAGCACGTGCTATTTGTTAAGACACGGGAAACTTCAGACCTGGATTTAAATGCAGCCGACAGAAAATCCTGCCGCGCCATTCATAGTTTTCCATTAAATTACATTATATTTGTCCCGAATTGTTGTTAGTGCTTCATTTATAGAGCTATAATATAGATTGTGCTTTCTCTTTCCGTTTGCTCCATTTTTTAAACACCGAACTTCAAACTCATCTATGCCTCATTGTTCGTTCATTCTTGAAGTAAACTTGTGTCCGTTTGGTGATTTAAATAAACTGTTTTAGACCGCTGCTCGAATTGAACGCGACGCGTCCGGAGTGTGTGTGATACCGGTGAGTTCTCCTAGACTCAGCGCTGCACTTTTATTATGATTAGATAATCATCAAGTGATCAAGAATAGTAGAAGTTAAAGTGTGAGAGTATACAAACAATATCCATATGTATATAATTTTAATGCTATGGCCTTTGTGTATATATTTAAAAATGTGCATTTTTAAGCATGACTGTTGAATTGAAATGGTAACACTTTAAAATAAGAGTCCATTTGTAACATTAAGATTAATGAAAGCTGTGTAATGAAAATATTGTTCCTTGTTACTTAATTGTGTTAATTTCAACATTTTTATTATTATTATTATTACTACTACTACTACTACTAGTATGGTTCAGTACTGTTTTTTTAATAAAGCATTATTTTAGTTTTTGTTCAGTATCCATTTTAAAAACTATCGGTTAATTAATCTGTATCGGCCAGTGTGGTCCAACCTAGCTATCGGTATCGGCAAAATCCACTATTGGTCGACCTCTAGTAATTTCCAATAAAGCCTATATTTTGCAATAATGACAATACTTAATTATAGTTACATAAACCCCAACCGGATTATGAGGACCCCAATGTGAATCTGACTTCATAATCCAGTAATAATAATACATAGTTTAACTTGTATTCCTATGATTTAAGCATTAATTATTATTAAATACCAGTGAAAAAAATGATGAATGGCAGCATGGAAGTTGTGGTTTGTCCTGTGTGTTTTACATTTGAAATTCTTGGTAAAGTTGATTTGCATATATTTTGCCTGTTTATTTGACTTTGTTGTTGTTGTTTTTTCTTAGGAACTTCATCATTCGATACCTTGCGAATCAACCAAAGACTGATCCCAAAACGCACTGCTGTTCTTCCTGTCCAAAATGGTGAAGATATTTGTTGGCAATGTCGCTTCAGCGACCACAGAAGACGAGCTCCGTGCTTTGTTTGAGAAGTACGGCGCCGTGTCCGACTGTGACATTCTGAAAAACTATGGCTTCGTGCACATGGATGAAGAAGAGGCGGCGCAGAAAGCCGTCTCCGCTTTGCACAAGCATGAGGTCAACGGCTCCCGCATCACCGTTGAGTATGCCACCACCAAGGTACGCAATGCCACCAAGATCTACGTGGGCAATGTTCCCGAAGGCGTCACCGCTGCCAAAATCAAGGAGCTCTTCCAGCCATTCGGCAAGGTGGTGGAGTGCGATATTGTGAAGAATTATGCATTCGTTCACATGCAGAGGGAAAGCGAGGCTCTGGAGGCCATTTCAAAGCTTAACCACTCCAAATTGGAGGGCCAAAAGGTCTTTGTGTCCCTCTCACGCAGTAACCCATCCAGAAATGACCGAGAGGAGGACTATTTTCCTCCTCCGCCGCCGCATCACTATCCACCTCACCCACACCACCATCCTCACTTTGTCCCCCCACGCCCGCCGCCCCGTGAATACTATCCGCCTCGTGGCCGACTTCCACCCCCTCCTCTCCCACCGCCGCCACCCCGCGTCTACTATGAGCACGATGTGTACGAGAGGAGCCTTCGCCACCTACTACCGTGAGCGCAGTCCTCTTGGCGGTCGCCGCTCTCTCCTGCCTCCTCCTCCCCCTCCACCCTCTTCTGCCAGCTTTTCCCGGGGTTTCGCCCGCAATGGCGCTAGCTCTGCGCCCCCTCCCCCTCCCGCCGCTCCTTCCTCTCACTATCAGCGCTACTCTCTTGGCTCAGGCTTTGATAAGGATGATTATTTGGAGGACAAGTACAGCAATGGCTTCAGCCGTAGCTACTACTAAGCATTGAAGTTTGTCCGTCCCCTTATTTTCGAGGAGCTGAGTAATCTAAGAGGGGCTTACCATCAGGGAGTTAGGGGTGATTTTTTTTTTTTTTTATATTCTGTGATAGTTGTAGCGATTTTAGATATAACGGGTCAATCAGCTAATACTGTACTCATTTAACTAATAAATTTACCTCCGCCCGACGAAGGAACAGCAAATAGGAAGTTAAATACACATGAATTTTTATAGCATGTTATGTTGTATTATATTTGCCAGGCATATCGGTTTGAGTTTTTTCTTAAAATAATTGTTTTTTGTTTGTTTTTGTTTTTTTACTCACACAGTTCATTTTACTCTAGCATGCACTTCAAAAATACAATAGATCGCTTATATTTTGCATTGATATTTCAACATGCATAGTCTACCCAACAGGAAATTAGTCGTGTTGAATGTTTACCTTTTTTTTTTCCTTTTTGGTATTTAAGAATATTCAAGTCTCTTGCACGAGTCAGAGAGTTAATTTGGAGGCAATTTGAAAAATTTTTTTTTTTTAAAGGGACTCCATAACCAAATTTTATACTTTTTTTTTATTTTTATTTTTTATATATATATATTTATTCAAATTGAATCTCATCTCTTGACTATCTTGGTCTAGGCAAATGAACTTGCTATGGTGTTGGTAGAAGTAATGTTGGATGTAAGTGAGACCAGTGGGAAGGAACAGAGAGGAAATGGTTAAAGAGGTTGTTGTGGGCGGAGCTGTGTGCTAACTGACTGATCAACCAATCACATCCTACCGGCTAACCGAGCACATCGCATCTACCAGCCGTTCAACTTTCGGATCCGCTGCCGCATCCTAGGATAAAGCACCACCGGTCAAAGGAAGCGAACGACCGACCAGCCGCCAACCGCAAAATAAATAAAAAAAACAACACTGAATCATTAGTGCAATATCTACACTGTATTTCCAAATCTCGTTGTATTAGACAAACAGCTGATTTGCCGACTCCGCAGACTCTGAGAAAGTTTTTAAAGATTATAAAGACTTATTTTGACATCACATTATAATGAACGTGCTTGTGATTGAAAATATTACTGAATACTCAACATTGTTTCCTGTCCTACTTGTACTACTGCTGTTTGCCTATTGTTAGCGTACACTTCTGTTTAAAATGTACGTTTGTAAAAAGACTGTTTATCCGAAACCGCTCTCTTTATCATATTGTCCACTCGAGCAGGTTCGAAACTTATGCTTGTTTTGATTTAAACCTATGAAAACAGATTCTTGTTCTACCAGTCGCTGTCATCTTGCCGCCTGAATAAAAATTCGACTGACTCAGACGCAACGTTTTCATGTCACTCGTTTTTAATTGAGTCTCTTTAATTTCTACCTCATGTCTCACTCGCTCACGTTATCATTCGTATAATAGAAATGTCCTTTGACTTGATCACGCATGTATAAAGTGCCAAATAGATTCGTATAAAAACTGCACTTTCCGCTTGAACCCTTCATATAAAGGCCAAAGGCATTAATTTAAACCTCAGTAAAGTCCAGTCACTTAATCTTCTTTTTGTTCCACAATGACCCCTGGCCAAGATTAATGAATGTATGATGCTCTGTTTCGAATTACTGTAACAGCTTGGTGTGGCTCATCAGGATGGGTGAGTTAAAAGTGAAGGTAAGTAGCATTTCAAGCTGGATTGTTCGGACTTTTGTTCTTCTTGTCACGTTGCACGTTATTGTATGTATCTGTGTGCTAGTAGAGCCTGTTTGACTTGCTTTAGTTTTTTCACTGGTGATATTATTAGAACAGTCACATACTGTTCCTGAAACACTTCATCCTGATGTGGATCAGTGCAGTTGTTTCATGATGTCCGTCAAGTGTTTATAAAGTGTGATTTACTTCTTCTCCTCACAGCCTTTCAGTAGAGCTGCACTGACATAAGTCTGTACTCCATAAACTACTCCTAAACGTCATAAACTATACCTTTTATGTTTCTTCCCTTTCTTGTGCTACATGCCTGATTTGAAGTACTCCAGTCACCAGCTTATGACTTCTCGTACACGTGTTTCTAATGGGAATGATGAGTGTTTACTTTGAGATTTAGTGAATATAAGCAACTTTTTAAATTCCTTAGTTTCATTGGCTGCCTTTTGCTTAGCATTTCTAATGATCGTTTAAAGGACAAGGTGAATTAAAAATAAGTAATACCAAAATGTCATGTCATTTCAAGATTTTAGGGTAGTGAAAGTTAAATCTAATAAGTACAAAATAACAGAAATATGGACTCATATATGTAGACATTAAGGTATTTGTCAGGAAACCGTGTCATTTGTGTGCTTTGTCTCTGATTTAATATTGGTATATTTAGGTACTAATTTAGCTCTTTTTTTTTTCTTGGTCACATAATAGATTTGAAGTTCATTTTAAATTATTTCATTTCTAAATGTTTGTTGTACATCACAATGTCAATGTTTGTCTCAATCATTATAATATTTTAGAGTTATGTAAAGACAATATTTTTATTGAAATTGTCGTTGTTCCTTCAGTTTTTTTCCAAACTGTTATGCTGTAAAATAAAATATAACGATTGACTAATGTAGAATTGCTGCACTGATCACCGTCCTTTTAACATAAGTGCAGTAGGTCTGTATATAAATTACTAACTTCTAAATAATCTTGAGTTAAAATTATTCAGAGATTTAGCATTTAACTGCTAGTGATTTGCAAGGCAATAACCATCTATTTATAACTGAAAAACAGTTATTAACCACTAATCTGAATATTGTGGTGCAAGGCCGTCCTCCTACAGTTGCAATGAGGTTAAAAAAAAAAAAATTTTTATTTTCTTATTAAATTGTTAGTTTTTTGTCCTAGACATTTATAGCACACATGGTACTGTTTTCTGAGAATGACCCATATAAAAATGAACATAAGATTATTTGATTTCAGTCTGATAAAGAATTTCATACAGACAGTAGTAAGTGAAGCCTTGTGTTTGAGTAGGATATCCTGTGACAGCAGATCAAATGTGCAGTTGTGGGAGGTTAGGACTTGTTTATCTGGGCCCGTATTCACAAAACATTTTATCTTACCACTAAGAGTTCTCCTAAATGGCAGTAAAAGTTTTTAGCTAAGAGTTTTCTCTTAAAACCTATTCACAAAGCTGCTGAGACAAACTTTTAATAAGGAATAGAGAGAAGTCTTAAAGGGGTCATAGGATGCTACATGCACTTTTACAAGTTGTTTGAACTGAAATGTGTGTTGGCAGTGTGTGTACACAACCACCCTATAATGATAAAAATCCACCCAGTGTTTTTTTTTTTTAAATCTTGTTAAATGTTTTCTCCTTTCTCAAATCGAGCCGATCTCAGATGCCTGTCTGTGTGACGTCACACAGACAGGCCCCTCCCACGATAGTTTGATTGACAGTAGTGTTTCAGCACTGACTGGACTGGTGTCTTACCTTCGACCCGCCCTGAGTGAGCTGTCATCAGTCTGCCATTGTTTCACCGCTGGAGCAGAAGTAGACAAGAATGACTCCTAAGCGATTGAGGTCTTCTGTTGCTGGATGTAATAATGAACATAGTAGTCGTCATTTACTCCTGACATCTGAGCCGCTGAACTCGCAGTGGATTATTTGTTTTGGAAGGGAATGCGCCCCCGATCTACATAAATGTGTCTATGTTCGCGTGAATCATTCATGATCCAGCCTCATCTACAGAAGTGAGTATAATGTTTTGTAATGAATCTTTGCAAATCGCCTTTCCTAATAATGTGCTAATTAGCAAGTTTCACATGAATGCGGCTAAAGTAAACGGTCTCTAAAAGCAGCTCGTAAGAGAGGGGCGGGGTCAGCAGAGTTCATTAACATTTTAAAGGAAAATGCTACAAAAAACGGCTTGATCTGAAAAGAGCTGTTTTTGACGGTAAAAAAAAAGGTTTTTTGTTTTGTTTTTTTTTACACTACCATTGAGAAATTTTAACCAAACTATGTTACAGACTTTTCATTAAGACCCTAAAGAATCATATCAACTTGTGGAAAATGGGCATCCTATGACCCTTTTAAGCTAAGAATAAGGGCGGGGTTGACCTCGTTGCTATGGATGATGTCAGCCTATGCACACAGTGATTGGCTGATAGTCTGTCAGAGATTTATTCATAGAAATATTGTAGAGCGCAATATTATGTTGCCATATTCAAATAAAGGTTTAAAAATAAAAATGATGATAATTGCCACATTCAAATAAAGATTTTAAAATGCAGACTAAATGTCTCTAATTAAACAAGTATATGTTCAGTTAATTGTCAGTCTCTCACATGTGTGCTTCTCGTAAACTATTAGCGGGTATGCATATAAACAGCCTTTTAATTAACAGAGTAGAATAATCATGACTGATAGTAAGACATGCAAACATCAAAACAAAACAAAAAAACTGAACGCAAGAACAGCTGTTACTTCTTGCCCAACTGGTTAAAGCAGCACTATGTAACTTTTTCTGTGTTCAAAATTTGCAAAAAATGTATATAATGAGCGAGTACATCATGAATTCATCTTCCAAACCGCATTGTTGTCTTATTCCAAATCACTACGGTACACTTATAATAAGTACTTATATTTGGACTATTGTAGCCTGGTCGGGTCGTCACCGCTGCGGAGTAACACATACCTGCGTGAATCGCCATAGACATAAACTTAAAGAAGTAGCTCCGGTTGGAATGTTCTTCCGCGGGATGTGTGCAGTTCTGTTTATTAACCGCTAGAGCGCCAAAAGTTACACAGTGCTGCTTGAACATTATAAATGTCTTTACTGTGACTTGATCAATTTAATGTGTCCTTGCTATAAAAATTTATAAAAGAATTTAAAAAATAAAAAAAGACTCCAAACTTTTCAACAGTAGTGTATATTTATATAAAAATATCATTCTATATTAAATGACTATAAAGATGGAAGGATTTCTTCTAGATAGTTGTTAGAATCATTCTCTCTCAACTGACCTGTCACTCTGTGTTCATTCCCGCAGACTGGAGATGGTGTGAATGATGCACCTGCTCTGAAAAAGTCTGAAATTGGCATTGCTATGGGGTCAGGCACAGCCGTGGCTAAGACTGCCTCTGAGATGGTCCTTGCTGACGATAACTTTGCCACCATTGTGGCCGCTGTGGAAGAGGGTCGAGCCATTTACAACAACATGAAACAATTCATCCGCTACCTCATTTCCTCAAATGTCGGCGAGGTGGTCTGGTAAGGATCTTAAAGGGATAGTTCACCCAAAAATGAAAATTTGATGTTTATCTGCTTACCCCCAGGGCATCCAAGATGTAGGTGACTTTGTTTCTTCAGTAGAACACAAATGAAGATTTTTAACTCAAACCGTTGCAGTCTGTCAGTCATATAATGGAAGTGAATAGGAATCACGGCTTTGAAAGTCATAAAAGATACACAAACAAAACCAAATTAAACCCTGCGGCTCGTGACGATACATCGATGTGTAAAGACACAATACGATCGGTCTGTGCAAGAAACTGAACAGTATTTATATCATTTTTTACCTCTGATTCAATGTCTGAACTGTCCTGAGCACGTTCGCGTCTTCAGCCGGTGCGTGACGCGTCTTCTTGCTTTACGGCGGATCGCAGACTTATAAGTGCATTACCGCCACCTATCTCTCAAGTGGACCATTGACACTCCTAATTGAGATTGTAGATAGAGTGTCAATGGTCCATTTGAGAGATAGGTGG